AGGCTTCCCGTGGGGTCACAGTCTTCTTTCAGGCATCCACCTGCTCCAATGTGGGTCTCTTCCACAGGCTGCAGGTGGATCTCTGCATCCCTGTTGACCACCATGGGCTGCAGTGGCACAGCTGCTTCACCATGGTCTGCATCACAGGCTGCAGGGGAATCTTGTGCCTGGAGCACTTCCTCCCCCTCCTTCTCCACTGACCTTGGTGTCTGCAGGTTGTTCTCTCACGTAATATCACTCCACTGTTTTCTGAGTGCAATTATATCTATGCAATAACTTCTTTTCCTTCTTTAATATATTATCATAGAGATGATACTACCATCCCTAATGGGCTTGGCCTTGGCCAGTGGTGGGTCCATCCTGGAGCTGGCTGTCGTTGGCTCTGTCAGACATGGGACTTGCAGCTTCTTAGAGAAGCCACCTCTGTAGCCCCCCGCTACTGAAACCTGGCTGCAGTAAACAGGCAACAGGTCCTGGGAATTGAAGCATATAAAACCAAAAAACAATACAAAACTAATACAAAACCAATAACAATAGTCCTGGTGGTTTGGCCTGTGCTCAAGAGAAAATGTGTGAGAAAATTAAATGATCTTCAGGCTGACTGAAGATGATCTGATGGAGAATAATAGGTAGGTAATTATTTATAAAACTTATGTTTTCCCACAAATTACTTGCTGGAAGTCCATCACATGAGCACATTCCTGAGTTCTCCAGGAATGATTGTGACATGGTGACCGAATTTGGCGCTTTCTTAGTGTGGCATTTTGTCTCACTTTTTAAGAGTGTATTCAGGTTTCCAAATTCATGGACACAATCCTGTCATTGGAAGCTGTCACTGATAAATAGCAGCAGGTAAGCAAGGAAACATGTTCTGCTTTGATTACTGCATAGGTTTTGTGGCTATAGCTCTGGAACTCATTCTAACTCCCCAAGAAGGCTGGTCACCATTTATTTTCTTCTTGTGTCATGAACATCAAGCAATGAAAAAAAAAGCCTATTGGACTGGAAATCTTCAAATATTGCATAAAATTTTAAGAAGCAGCTAATTTGTCTAAGGATGAGAGAATCATAGACTCTTAAGGTTGGAAAATACCTCCAAGATCATCAGGTCCAACCTTTGACTGAACACCACCTTATCAACTAAATCATAGCACTGAGTGCCATGTTGAGTAATTTCTTGAACACTTCCAGGCATGGTTAGTCCACTATTTCACTGAGCAGTCCATTGCAATTCTTGACAACTCTTTCAGTGAAGAAATTTTTCCTGATGTCCAACTTGAACCTCCCCTGGCAGAACTGGAGGCCATTTTCTCTTGTCCTGGCACTAGCTGCCTGGGAGGAGAGACCGACCTCCACATGGCTACGACCTCCTTTCAGGTAGTTGTAGAGAGTAATGAGGTCTCTCGTGATTCCCCTTTTCTCCAGGCTGAACAACACCAGCTTCCCCTGCTGCTCCTCTTATGACTTACTTTCTAGATTCTTCCCCAGCTCTGTTGCCCCTCTCTGGACACACTCCAGCACCTCAATGTCTTTCTTGTGGTGAGGGACCCAGAACTAAACACAGTACTTGATGTATTGCCTCACCTGTGCCAAGTACTGAGAGACAATCACTTCTCTAGTGCTGGTGGCCACACTGTTCTTGACAAAGGCCAGGATGCTATTGGCTTTCTTGTCCACCTGGGCACACTGCTGGCTCATGTTCAGCTGCTGTGACGAGCACCCGCAGATCCTTTTCCACCAGGCAGCTTTCCAATCACTCTGACCCAAGCCTGCAGTGCTGCCTTGGGTTGTTATGACGAAAGGGCAGGAGCTGGCACTTGATCTTGTTGAAGTTCATACTATTGCTTAACCCAATTTACTTTCCAGTACCAAAATGACTCTAATGGACCATAGGACTTCGTGATCCTTAATTCAGCAAATAGCAAACCAAAAAAAAAAGATATTTTGAGACAAATTTTTGTTTGACTCTGATTAAGCAGAATTTTCTTCCTTATTAGTGAAATATTGTAAATGCTTCATTTATGTTGAGTTATTACATTCACATGAAGGTTTATAGGCAAGCTACAAAGGATTTCCAGTACATTCCTCTCTAAGGTAAATGAGTCATTTTGAAGAAATTTTTAATGAGTCACAGAAATACATGCAATGTTTTACATACGAGTCACTACAAAATATGATCAAATATTATTTTAATTTTCTTAAGCAGGAATGTTGCAAATATATGACTGTCATAGTGCATTTTGTGACATTGTCTTCTGGTTATTTACTACTGTTATTATACCTATTGCTAAGTGTAGATAAAATATTATAATAGATATGTCTCAAATTTATGAATAAGAAAATAATGGAGTTCCTAATTTCAGCTAGTTAGGAGTGGGCTGCTGTTATATGGCACTGAGCAAGTTATTTCACATGCTCTGGTACCTTGTCTGTTTCAATCACCTTAACCTCTCTCTGAAATTCCAACCAAAACAAACTCCATTATTTCATTTCAGTTTTAGGGGTTTATTACTGCTGTTAAGTTTAAGAATTTGGCATTCCTTTTATATATAAGCCAAGAGCATTAAATAACCCCAGTGAATACAGTATTACCTCTCGAGCCCTCACTCCTTAAGATGATGATGTTGAAATTATTATAGCAGCCAGATCTAGGACTGACACAAGAAAGGACTGATTTCTGTAGAAACTACATCCCGACATCCTCATTAAGACCTTCCTTTCTGATAACCAGTGGTGTGTGGGACACCCTTTGTCCCCTTTCCTTGACACAACTTGTTGAAGAGGAATGTGAAGGCTGGGTGTGATCTTCCCAACATCAGAGTGAAAGGAAGTAACATACCAAACAGATGATGACATAAGTGCTGCTGAATCTAATTTCACCCCTTTGGTGACCACTCAGCAATATTTCAAAAGGCTAAATTCAATAGTCATAACAAAAAGCCTATTTAAGATCTGTCAGTATTAGAAGTGAAGATAGAAGGAAAGCTAATTAAGAACTGAGTTTATTGATATGGATAAGCTGTGCTTAGGCACTTTCAAGTTCAAGAGGTAAGGAGACTTCTGCACCAAGAATATACTGGGAAGTGCTGATTACAACCCCTCTTTATAGAGCTGGGCAAACCTGTTCAGCATGAATAACAGTACATAATCTCCAGACAGGCATTATTCTGAACTCAGTAGTGTGATTGTTCCCATTCCTGATGGTGCTATCTTTGAGAGAGACTGTGGAAGTTGAGGCATTTAAATACTTTATTAACCCTCTCCCTGCAACTCTCTCACGTTTCTCATATCTGATGCTGCATTCATTTATGTGTGAAACACTTAGAGCTACCCAACAGATAATACTTTTTGACATCACCTTCCTGGAAAGGAGTGATTAGTTAAACAGCACTTCTGATGGGTTCCTAGAGGTAGAGGTGTGAAAGGAGAGATAACGCTGTCTGTTTTTCTAGGCAGGTCTATCTCTGCATAGTTTTGTTGCTTTCTGACTGCACTTCATGTTAAGGACTTCACACTGCCTTCAAGTTTCCTTGGCATCAAGAATATCAAGGGGATTAAGCAGAGGCTTAAATACATTGTGTGGGCATCGAATAAATAAGCATCTATGTCCTTGTGGTAAAAGGTGTGCAGAGCTGTCCACTTGCAGACCCACTCCCTGTAGTGGTGGTAACCACTGAGCCAAGGAACTTTTTTAAATAACTATCCCTGTGGCATGTCTTGTCTTTAGTGAATTATTGTGACAGTCACAGAAAGACCCCAAAACCATGCCTGGCAGTGTGAAAACAGGCTGCTAACTTAAGCATTTAGCAGTTGAAATTTAGTCTGTCTGTGCAATGACAGGGGAGATATGTGGTGAAATGTGGTGAAAATAAAGACACCAAGAAGTGGTTGGGCCTCCATTAACTATCTCCTGAGAGAAGGAGAGCTGATTTGATTCAAGCCAGTGACTTGAAATGATAAGCCAGTCATGCTATGCAAAGAAAGAGCTGTCACTACCCCACAACCACACACACCTATTAGCACCAAGTGCTCATTCACATTTGCTACCTTCTCCCTATACTTTGGAACAGTCTTTATAATTAGTCTCTCTGTTTCCAAATACATATTTTAGGATCCTGTGTTCCAAAGCTCAGAACAAGAAATTGTTTTTCACAGTGTTACACAAAAATCACAACAGTAGCTATGCATTTTATGACTGCTCCATAGTTTTTTGAAGAAGGAAATTAGCTCTGTACTCTTGCACAACCTGGTTGTAATGATGATGCGGTGTTTATGAATGATGAAAGAAAATGATTTGGCAAAGAATTAAAAAAAAAGTAAAGATGAAAAGTACATTAAAATTTCCTTTCTAATCTTGAGAAGATGTATAAACCTAGCAATATTAAGATTATTGCTTTGGGTTACTATAATTTGAATATCATTTGATCTCGATTTAAAATATCTGCATATTTTTGTACAACAAACTTTGATAGCAAAGTCAGTGATAATGAGAGTTTGATGCTTTACTTATGGACACTTTTGCTCATAGCTCAGTGATGCCACTCTGAGATATCTTGTAATAATTTGTCTGAGAAGAAAACACCTTATAACATTTAATCATTACTTCTTTGATGTGTGGTGTGGTTAACATGCTTAACATACCTGATTCAAATAACTTAGCCTTGATAGAGAATTATCTCATCCTTTAAGAAATACTGATTTTTGCCACAGCAAAAAGAGCTTGCACTCTATAATGCAAATATGTAAAACATGCAGATTTATATACCTGCCCACAGATACACTGAAGCTTTTTCAAGATTCGGGACAAATAATGATACATAAACCCAAGAAATATTAATTAGAATAAGCATTTTGCAAACTTGCTGGAAGAAATATAAAAAGACAATATATCATGAAGGTATAACATATTGTACAAGGCCAGCTGCAGGAAATGTATGGTGTTTTTACTGTGGGTTGAAATTCCATCTCTAAATAACATGATTTTAAAATCTGCACTACAGCTTCGTGTACCAGCTAAGGTGATGACAGGAACCATAAAATAGATGGGCGGTAAACAAGGTAACAGGAGTGCTGAAAACACAGTGACAGTGGAAAAGCTTAAGGAGCTACAGGTGAAAAGGTACAGGAGAAAAAGAATTACTGTGTGACTTCTGAGGAGTACATGCAACCCATTTCAAGATGCAAGTAAGGCAGCATTAAGGTTTTCTATTTTCTTTTTCACTGGAGAGAGCGCTCAAGAGAAAAAGAGTCATTACAGAAAAGCCAGATTAATTGTTTCAGCTGGTACTGGCCATGGAGAAGGGGTCTTGCCCAGCAGTCTCTCACTACAGAGAGAGAGAATCTGGAGTTTTGACTATCAATTTAGAGGTAAATTTTGAAAAGAAAAGTTTTAGAAGGCACTGTTAAAGTCATTAGTAAAAAAAAATAAAATAATATTCATGTGATCAAATGGAATTGGGTAATAATTAAAGATGAATTCTGGTATAAATATTTATGTCACTTAAACATAGTTCAGTAGGCACGGAAGATAACTAGCATGGTGCTCATCTTTAAAAAAAGTGTAGGGAAATATCATTGGAGACATATACCAAAATGGCTGCCACCTATACCCTGCAAATTTATAACTGTAACAAAATAGTGGAACTGAACATTAACTATAATAAAATAACAGAACTAAACCTTTATCATATATACCTTTGCTACCTTTTGGAACAGAAATAGTGTTTTTTGCAGGTAATGCCTTGCAAACCTAATAGAATTCCTTGATGGAGCAGAAATGTTTTACATATGTAGATTCAAATTATGAATCTGAGTATAAATAAAAGGTTCTGACATGGTTCTTTCTGGAAGAATAGTGCATTCAAGTTCTCACAGGACAAGAGAACTTACTTTTTTTGTGTGGAAAAGCAACTAAGTACCAGATAAGAAGTACGAAGTAATAACAGAATCATCTTTCCCAGCAAAGATGGCTAGCAGGAATGAAGGTCCACCTCAAGCTTCTCTAATACTGACATGTGCTGACCAGCTCGCTGTTAAATGATCTGGTGTGAGTTGGCAAAGTTTGCAGATCAGACATAGTTATTAGGCAGACCAGTCATAAGATGATGACACAGGGTTTCAGAAAGGTCTGAGAGCATTGAAAAACATGATGATAAAAGAGCAGATCAAATTTATTGCTAGCAAGTATGAAGTAATGCATATGGGAAAAGAATCGCTATTATTATGAGTTCACAACAGCCTCTAAATTAGCACTCTATAAGGAGTTTCTTGAAACCATTGTTTTGTTAGGGGTTAACCCCCCAGTAATAATGTTAGAAGTTATTACTGTCTTCTAGTTATATGGTGTAAGTGTAAGCAGGGGATGGTTTCCAGGCAGAGGTATTAGCTTTGTCAGTAACACAACTGTGAGTGTTCTCAAGTATTAACAAATAAATACAGAAGAACAAGAAAAAAACCCAAAAATCTGTTCTGTGCTACTGGTTTATCTATGCCTCAAATATTGCATGGAAACCCTTTTTCAGAAAAGTAGCAGTAAAACTAGAAGATAGGTTGAGAAGGTTGTCAAGCTGAACAGATGTATGGAATCAGTTCTGTCAGAGGAGAAATAAAGTGGGGCACTTCATCTCAGATTATAAGAGGTAGCACATAACTGTGAAAGACCTGATAGAAATGCTGAAGTGTATAAATGGCACAGAGAAGGTGAGTAAAGCATAATTTCCCACAGTTCAAGAGATTGATAGCATCATGTAAAGAGTTATAATTAAATGACTTGGAAATTATCTCTCAAAAAATATATATAATCAAATTAAGGTGTCTGTTGTAGTTGATTTTTTAAAGGTATAAATGGATTAAAAAAGAGCTTGGGCAGCCTCACAGATCATAGTCCATCGCTGGCACAACTTCCAGCTTGACAAGTCTCTAAATCACTAACTGAGAGAAACTGAGAAGATATATCAGCAGAAAGGTCCTTGCCATATTTGTCATGTTCCTGAGCCCCAACTGCTGGCTACTGTCACAGTCACTGTGGTGGGGCAGATGAACTGGTGTATTAAGCCCAAGAAAGGGAATAATTTTAATATCCATCCCTAGTAGTGAAAAACACAGTCAAAGAGCCCTTATTCTGCCAGTATTTTAGCACTATGACTCATTTTTTACCTAATGCAATCTTCATGCCAATTAATCATAAGGGTTTCTGAACAAATATTTACATTTTAATAGGAAAGATAGAAATGTGTATGCTGAATATATTCACGATTCTTCCTGTGCTCAGAGAAGCTGACTCACCAGCTGATGCTAATATCCACTTTGTACTTAATATGTTTGAAATACAAAGGTGTAAAATTACTCACATTGGCACTTCATTATTTTACATCCTACTGCTGTGAGTGAATAGATACAGAAAATGACAAATAACAGAGAAGAGATTGTGAGACTTTTCTGTTACTCTTTCTAAAACCATACAGGCACAGGGACAAGAAGATGTTGCTTTCATAGCAGATATTTTAAGAGAGAAGTAGCAAATATTTTTATTGGTAAATTTTAAATATTTGCCTTTGAAAATACTGAGAAGGCAGTTTAGGAGCTGGAAAGGAAGTGCAGCTTTCCTCAAAGCAGTATTTGTTTGCATTTGCCTGGTAAATCCAGTCTTTTTAGATTCTAGATGTCATGAAATCAAAAGCTGTGGTAATGCAATGTCACAATGCCATGCTAGAAAATCACTTTCTTAGTCACTGACATTTGGAGAGGCAGTATAAGTGCTATCTCCTGGGAAAGTCATGAACCTAGAAAAGCCTGTTGTTTCATAGCATACCTCTAAATGGAAAGAACCTCCCTTGTACTTCCTTGCATGCCCAGTGGTGTCTAGGATGGCATCTTTAGACCAAAGCACCTAATGGTCTAGCTATTGCATAAGGGACCAAACATGTCCAGAACTGGCCACGCTTTGCAGTAAGAGAAAGATGTCTAAGTGAGGAGGAAACTCCATTGGATTTGCTATTGCTGTGTACTCTGCAACATCATTTACATTGGATTAAAGAGAGCTGTGCCAAGAGCTTCTCCTTCCAAAGAGGGGACCTTTGGACTTTGCACTGGACTGAATAACTTTGCAGTCTTCAGAGGCTGTGCAGAATTACACCCCAAGTGTATAAATCAGAAATGCTACATACCTACATACATACTTAAATGCTCTCTCTCGCTAGAGGGAACTATTGATGCCATCAAATTGCCTGCAGAATGACAGGGCACTCTGATGACTCTCAGTCTAGAAAATGGCAGGCATTTGCTGTTGCAATAGATTAGGGAATAGCCTATTCTTAGGAAATAGAAAAGTCTCAAGAAAATCTCCTGAAAAATACAGTCCTGAGAGAGATGAGATGGTGATTACTACTAAGATTAAGACCCTATGGTAGAGGAAGATAACTCACTTGTGTACACCTACTTGAGCGGAGGTGAGTTTGCTCCTTCCAGATTCCCTGCCTTTCCATGTTTACAGTTTTCTGCACGTGATGAGTCACTGAGTGCAGGGCTGCAGCTAACGACTGTAATGCATGAGGGACTTGTGGGAATCTTGTCTTCTTTCCAGGTCCATGCCATAGTATGTCAGGCTAAAGAAGTGGAGAGAAACCACCCAAGAGAAAACCTGTACTAGGGTTGCACCAGCTTCCAGCACCCCCCGAGAAATGAGAGGGTAAGAAGAGAAGCTCATGTGCCCTCAGATGACTATGAATTCTGCAGGTGTACTTTTTTTTTAATATTTTCTTATATAAGGGTTTTTATGATTTTATGTTTTTAGAGCTCCTCAAGTAAGGGCTGTGATTTCATAATACTTCTAAGCAATTTTGGGTAGTGTCCACCAAGTACACTGAAAGCTACTACTGTTTGTAATGCTAGCATGTGCAACATGCGTGTTGTAGAACCAGATAAAATTGTCATCTGCTTGCTTTGAGAAACCTAGGCAAAGACCTTCAATACCAGAAAATGCCTAAGTTTTAGTGTGACCTGAAGAAAGAGTCATATGTCTTGATCTCCAAACTACCGCTCCTAGCTCCCATGAGATGGCTTTCATGTTAATTGTCTCCTCAAGATTATTTCTCAGACTCTTGGCACTTCTGTTGGCTTCCTTCACTTCTTACTCAAGCCTAGCATTGTCTTTTGGTTATTCCTGGTATTCATCTTCCTACTGCTTATCTTGGCCTCTAAGTTTCTCAACCTCCCTCAACAGAGTTGGCATTACTACCTTCCCAAGCTTTTCTCTTAGAAGATCTGACAATTTTTTTCATCTCCCAAGGCACATCTATTAATCCCCCTAGCTGTTTGTTTATCTCTACTGAGTTTCTCACCTGTTCATTTCCCCAGAGCTGTTACAGCACAGCTCTTATTCCAGGACACTTCTTACTCCCCCCCCCCCCCCCTACTTATTCTTTGCTTACTTTGTTATATATTCTATCCGCCCATGGATTTAATCTCTCATGATCCACTTTTTCCTCTCCCAGATGATATAGTTATAGTGGAGTGTCTATGAGAAACCCTGCTTTAGCAGTTCTGGTCTGTCAGAGAAACTAGTGTAGCAACTGGGGATGGACTACACAGGTGCTTTCAAGGTCTGCCATGTTCAGAGGGCCCATAGATAGTCTATCCAGGACAATGGATGGGCAATTAGAACACTCCAAATGTGGACCATGAATGTCAGTAAGACAGAAATGGGAGACTTTATAAAGTTTATTACTACAGTTGTGCACAGAGACTTTTTAAAATTTAAAGAAAAATGAATGAAGGTAGATGAAATTGTATTTTCATCAGCAACATAAGATATTTCTAGCAAGGTTTCACATGTCCCAGACAGCCTGTCCCAAAATACATCTCTGACTGTATCCAGGCTTGCGCTTTCATTTGTGATTTCACTAGTGCCCTTCCACAGCTCCAGAGAGGGAGATGACTCTACTGAGCGCAGTTTCTCTGGGAGCTGCAGATGCATGTGCCTTCCGTATCCTTACCAGACCTGTTGGTGATATTGCTTCTTCCATCTCCAGAGCTGTTACCCTTTTACCAATCACACCAGCATCTTTAGCACCAGGTTCAGCTACTGGGCAGAAAACCAACTTCTGGGCTGTAAGTCTGAGCAACTCAAAGGCCTTCCCACGATAGTAGGCATCACTGTAAATCAACAAAATGCAAGGGCGAAGAGGTCAACTTCAGTCTTTGCCTGGGGCCTCTGTGAACTTTGCACCTTCTCTCACTGTTGCATTGCAAGCTCATGTTGTTCAGAAGAGGCTATGTACTGAACTGTTTCTGCTTGATGCACTGAGATCAAAACTTTCTTCGCTTTCATTTTTTTTCCATTCTGCATCACAATTCTGTGATCGGCAATTGTTTATTATTACCTAATACAGTCTGTATTGAAGATAAAAGATATATGTCAAGAACAAAGGCTGTTAGTTTTAGCTAGCTTCTTTTCAGACAAGAAAAGTATTTTCTGCATCCTGTATTTTCACTGTAGCATACACTGAGTCCTACTCTGATATCAGAGTTGATTGTGTTCAGCACTTGGAACTTGTGTGGGTTGTGACTTTGCTTATTAATGAAAAAGCAGCATCACAGCAATGGCATTTGTGCAGATGAATCCCTCTGCTATGATGAAAGAATTTATCTTCATATCCTAAGAATGCAATTGTTATGAGTCAAGTTCTGCTAACCAGAAACTATAAGCAGCCCAGCTCTGATGAGCAATAACAGGTGGGGGAACTCAGGTAGTCAAAAGAATACGGCTTTGCAAGCAAAATGCCTGAAAATATGCAAGTGCTTCTGGCAGCATATTCCCAGTGTTCATAAAAATAAGTAACTACAAATGAGTATATTTTATTTTTATCACGTAGGAGTTGCAAAGCACTCAGTGACTCAGATGTACAATTAACAAATTTTATTATTGGAGACAAGAATAGCATGCAGTCACCCAGCAATATGAAAAACATTTGAAATCAACCTTTTCTTGATGTTCTCCTGCTCATTGTCATTTCTTGCTTTGGACCATGTCAGGAACTCTTACTAAATAAACCTTTCCTGGAAGAGCAAGTTTTTTGTCTGGATAGGTCTCCTAGATTAGAGGTAGAGCAATAAACTTCCACTTGGAGGCTTTGCTCCACCTTTTCTCTGATAGCAAGAGGCTAAGAGAAGTTACGGCTGAGAAATAAGTAAAAAAAAAGCCAGATGGCTGAAGATGTCTCCCATGAATTGTGGCAATGTAAGGACTGCTTTTACAGATAAAGTGTTAGCTGCAACTTGATCCTATGATTTGTAATTTTGTTTCTTTGGCAATGCTAGATGGACCAGCAAAGAAAGCAAAAGCCCAGAGCAAAACCAATCTGTAGCTGACTCTAGAAGGTTTTGGAGGATTTTTCAAGGGTCTTCCAAAACATTTTAAAAGACCTTGCTCTTTCAGTGAATATCCAAATTACAGAAGTCATGAAGGTATGATAATGCATTGACTTCCTTCATATGAAATGTAGGGGCTTTTTGTCCTTTAACAGCATTTTTGCAATGTCAGGGATAGGATGGTGAAATTGTGAAAAAAGAAAAAAAAATCGCAAATATATTGCTCTAAGTTTACAAAGTTCTTGAAATTATGAGTAAAACAGTTTGTTGTGGGTTGATCTTGGCCAGATTCTAGGCACCCACTAAAGTCACTCGGAGCTGGGAGAGGTCACACAGGCAAAACAGACTCAATGTGGGGTTAATTCTAAATTTATTACTAACAGGAAAAGATATAAAGAGTGAGAAATAAAACAGTCTTAATCACACTTTCCACCCACTCCTCCTTCCTTCCATATTCTCCCTCGTCACCCCACAGCGGTGCAGGGAGACAAGTCCACCCCTCGGGCAACAGGTCTTCCAAATCTGCTGTCCCGTAGGTCACTTCCATGGGCTACAGGGGGACAGCCTGCTTCACCATGGTCCTCACCATGGATTACAGGGGGGTCCACAGCTCTGAGTCCTTCCTCTGCTCTGTGGGGTCCCTCCCATGGGTAACAGTCCTTGATGTATCTCTCCAATATAGGTCCACCCCTCAGGCAGTAGCTCTTCCATATCTACTGTCCTGAGGGTCACTTCTCCATGGGGTGCAGGGAGGGTCTCCGCACCCTGATGGTCCTTCATAGGATGCAGCCCTTCATAGGGTGAGCTGTACTGATGTGGATCCCCCACAGGGCCATAACCTGCTCCGGTGTGGATTTTCCTCTCCACAGGCCACAAGTCTCTTGAAAGACTTCGCTCCATCCTGGGCCTTCCACGGGGGTAATAGCTTTCTTCCATGAATCCATCTGCTCCAGCATGGGCTTGGCTGCACCGCAGTGGGCTGCCCCGGCCTGGGCCCTGGCTCAAATCAGCTGAGAAGGAAGGGAGGGCAGTACCCGCCGGCAGGGACCACTGTGCTGCACTGGTCTAGCCCGTAGGGCAAACCACCCCCCACCCTCACAGTTCCCCTTGGGAGCTTTGGCACTGTTGGTGCTGTTCGGCTCCTCGGGCAGGATGGGCTCCAGCACAGGCTGCTTGCGGGGTGGGCCTGGGGGGCTGTGGGGCTGCTCTCCACGGGGCTGCACACCCTGGCCCCAGCCCCAGCCCTGGCCCTGGCCCCAGTCAGTTCTTCGCAGGGGCCGCCGCTCAGCTCAGCTGGCACTGCCAAGAGCAATATGGGCAGCTTGGCTGGGCCGCCGCTGTCCGCTCTGGGCTAGGTCCCGAGAGGCCTGGGCTCGGCTGCCGCTGCCCCACTCTCCTCCCATGGTGGGGGAGGTGGTGGGACCACCCAGGAGCTCTGATCAACTCTCTCCTGGTTGGAAAATTCTTCTGCGCAACAACTTTGTTCTTAAATATGTTATCACAGTGGCATGATTATTGGCTCTCCCTTGGCCAGCAGCAGGAAGTCCCTCCTGTAGCCAGCTATCATTGGCTTCATTGGGGGGGAAACTTCTAGCAGCTTCTAACCAAAGCCACCCAATGTAGCTGCCCCCGCTACCAAAAACCCAGCCACCTCAATCCACGACACATAGAAAGATAATGAATTACCTATCTTGTGGATCTTAAGTGTTTCTACTTGTTCTACATATGCATATTAGGCAGTCACAAGGGATGGGTTAAAATTTTTAGCGATTAGTAATAAATCATTATCTTAGGCCATTGTTCAACAATTCAGAAAAAATGAACTTCATTATGCCTTGGGGCCTAATTTTCCTCACTCATAAACATAAATTGGTCATCTTTAACGATAATATTAAGTAGACAAACCGGGCAATATAATTCAGGATGACATGAAAAACAAATTCCTCAAGTCTATCCATTTCACAGTCCTTAGCTTTGCAGAGGCAGTGGCTGAAACAGTGTCTTGCTCACCCTCCTCTAGCCACCCTTTGCCACAGGGTCCGCAGGTGTGGAGCTCCTCCAGCCCCTCTCCTCCCAGCAGCTCCCTGGTCACCGACAGGACTAGGGAAGTGATCATCCCACAGTACTCAGCACTTGTGAGTCTACACATTAAATCCTGTGTTCAGTTTTGGGTCCCTCACTGCAAGAAAGACATTGAGGTGCTGGAGCGTGGCCAGAAAAAGCAAAGGAGCTGATGAATGGTCTGGAGCACAAGTCCTAAGAGGAGCAGCTGAGGGAGTTGGGCTTGTTCAGGTTGGAGAAAAGGAAGCTGAGGGTGACCTTATTGCTCTCTACAGGGTGGTGAAAGGAGATTGTCTCTTTTTCCAGGTGACAAGTGACAGGACGAAGGAAATGGCCTCCAGCTGCAACAAGGGAGAAAAGAATTTCTTCACGGAAAGGGTTGTAGAGCACTGGAACACGCTGCCCAGTGAAGTGATGGACTCATCACACCTGAAAGCATTCAAAAAGCTTGGGCATATGGTGCTTGAGGACATGTTTTCAACATGAACATGTGCTATGTTGATGATTGGACTTGATGATCTTAAAGGTCTCTTTCCAACCTTAAGGATTCTATGACTTTCAGGCAGACTTTGCTGGCCTCTGCTCCTTGGAGGTGGGAAATTTTAGCCAAGAATGCAGGAAACTATTTTAATGCTGAATAGAACAGCCTAAGTTTGAAGAGGCAGAGGTTTCATCAACACCGTTCTTCTCCTAAAATCCCTGCTGTAACAACAAATTGAGGTTTCTTTTGCAGCAGCCTTCTGGAAATACTTGAGCTCCAGAGGCATCACCATACTCACTGATCTCTGTCTCTCAAGCACGCACAACCAAAACATGCTTTAGTTCCCAGAAACAAACTCTCATGTCACACTTTATGTTTCACAGAGGAGATTTCACAGATTTTGAAAGACTTCCAAAGCAGTAGAGTAGTCAGTATGGGGTTTTTTCTGAACTCTTGATTGGAATGTCTAGACCAGGTTTCTACACTTCCCAACAATCTTAAAATTATCTCAACAAAACACTGTACAAACACGACTCTCATCTGGAAAGAGGAGTCTGGAAAGCTGAACTTCTGAATCTCCACTTGCAGTAAACACCATGATTTTTGCTAGTGTGCATTGCAAATGGCAGAAGTACATAAAAAAAGCTTGTACCCTGAACTTATATTGATCCAAATGTCTTATAGCAGTTCAAAATGAGTCCTGTCCTGGCTGCAGCACTGCTTTGAGAAATGATATTGAGCTTTGTGCATGATTAGTGGAAGGAGCATCCAATGGTGCATCTAAACTCTGATGGAGGAGCAAAGAGGTAAGTAAGGCTCATTATGCCTATCAAGTAAAGGTAGTTGTTAGGGATGTAACAGGCTAAAACCAACATAGTCTACATAAGGAAAAAAATATCATTATAGTTTTGACAGCAGAAAGTATTATTTTACAAGATTGCCTTCTTGTATCTGTTATCCCTGTTTTGGAGTCAACGATATTACTGAAATTTTTTCTTAATGAGTAGTTCAGCGTCTCCTGGAGTCTTAGAAAGAGCTTCTGAACACATGAAATATTTGGTGCCCTGGTTCTCAAGAAGAGCATTTTTCTGTTTTGAAGAGCTTTGAGGTCTCGACCTGGTAAATTCTGCAATTCTTTATTCAAGAAAAAGTTTTTTGAAAATCAATAATTCAACAAACTGGAAAGCCAGGCTGCCAGGGTTGTTCAGCTATAGCTCTTGTGTTGGTCAGGCAGACTGACATGAGCTGTGGCATAGCTACTTGGACATGGTTTGCAGATTGTCTGTGGTGGTGCAGGACCCATTGTGATGAAAGACTGTGGGGGTTGAGGACCATGAAGAAGAACAGTATCAGAGATGGAAGAAAGCATTACAAGAATCCATAGAAGAGGAAGATGAAGTTTCAACATAATGGACTTTCAGCAAATACAATGGACTGATGCATGAATGCGTAGGTTTTGATGTTTGTTGTATTCTCCTACTTTGTACTCCTACATTTTTATGAAAAATCCCCTCAGGTTGTTTACTTCTTTTACCGTCATGTTCTGATTGGTTGTTAGCTGCCACAGTGTAGATGTTCCATATAAGGTCATACCTCTCCCCTTGATCCCTTATAGAGATGTAACCTCTCCTTGTTCTCCCTATTAAGGCGAGTTCCCTTCTTCTCTTTCCCTATATGTCATGTTCACATCCCCAGTTCCAGAATGTTCCTTTCCTCTGCTATATTAAGGGGAAGCCATTTTAATAAAGAGCTTGCTTACTCACTTACTCCAGGACCTACATACCTACAACGAACCCTGAGTGAGTGTCCCTTATTTCCCCACCGGGCCGTAACAAAAGACCTTGCTGGGAGTCGAGGTGAAGAAATGGCTGTTGTTCAGTATTAAAACTAGCCCTAATGTGGGTTTGCTATATAGAGACATCAATGTTGACATGTAACCTGAGGAGGGGAGGAAGGACTGCTGAATGCAGTTTGACAACGTAATACGCTCTTGTGTAAGCGAAAAGGAATATGTTCAACCTTCAAAAATAACCATGCAGTCCATGAAAAGACAACGTGAATTTACAAATATAAGTGACAGAGTAGTTGAACTGAGGTATTGGAGTTGTGGCATCTACTCAGAGTTTTTTCTCTGCTTGATTACTCTTGATCTTCCATTGAAATTTGCCTGGAGTGTGCACAGTGGGGCTGTGAAAAGGGAGATGAGCAAATCCCATCTTCCTGATGGAGGTGTCAGCCCTTGTTGGGCTGTTTGGTGAATGGGTCTTCAGCTGAGGACTCCCACAGTTATTGCCCAACACAACTCTTATTCTGTGTGTCTCTGCACCTGTTCTAACTCCCTAGACAACAGATACAGCGTTGTCTTGTCTAGCAAATGCATGGCGTACCAGCACAAGGGAACTGGAAGCTGGGCAGCAGTGTACTCTGTAAATCATTGCTGGAGAAGTGCAATGGGATTGCTCATGTGCCAAAAAATTCCAAGCATCCCAAGGAAGCTTCTACAGCAACATGCAAGGACTCAGTCTCCGAGCTTATGTGCCCTTATTGTATGCAACAGCAGTAACCACCTCGCCATTATCTATTTTTGTTGCATATGTGCAAGGAAATGCTCAATACCTTTTGAATATTGTGGTTTACACCAGCATTATTCTCGCTTTTTCCCAGGCCTCTATAAGCTGGGAAAGTCACCTTGTGTTCAACCAATAGCGGGTGTATCCTGCTTTAGCTTTTGTCAGGGAGCCAGCATTTCATCTCTCAGCAGGCACATTGCAGTCACATAATGGAGGCAGGAACTCAGCTGAAATAAAGCAATGCTGAAAGCTTGTCAGAAATGTAAATGATATTGCACCTATTGTCAGTGATGTATCCTCCATTGTTCTCACAGTTGTTTCCCAGCTGAAAAAATGCTGGGGAGCCTGCATGATGAAACCAGAGACTGTTTACTGTAACATGATCTGTCAGGAACAGCTAACTGATCTCATACTACAAGAAGCATACATCTGTGGAAAGGAGAATTGAGTACTGAAACCCCGTGTTCGTAGTGCTGCAAAGCTGCAGTCTCAAAGTTTCCTCTGGCTGTGTCAGTATCGCAGGGAAGACTGAAAATGCAATTTACCTCAGTCAGGGGGGAAAGGTGGTTCCTTCTGATCTGTGCTGGAAGTGAAGGTAGAAGGATCTCAAGAGGTTTGTTCCAGAAGAGGAAGGATTACTCGGCATGGGAAAGAGAAAGAACAGGAATAAAGACAAGAGCCAAGCAAAGAAAAACTCTAACCCCAGGAAGTTCACAAGGGATTTCTGCATAAAGTTTGCTTAGCTGTCATTAAATAGTAGAAACCTGAAAAATGGTGGGTTTTAGAAACTGAGAATAAATATCTGGTATGTCGACAGATGAGTTACTGAGAGGTGAGATGCCATTTTCTGCAAGTATGTTACTTTCAGGCACCTTACTGTGACTATTTTGCTCAATTTCAGTAGTGTGATACAATCATTTCCCACAATGCTTATAACACAGGTCTCTGTCATGAGCACAGGGCTTGCTCGTCTGTATGAATTTGGCTGAGACTGACCACAGAAGAGAGTCTAACTCAGAATTTTCCAAATGTGAACTTGGAGGTGTTGGACATGCTTCTTATGCTGAAAAAAGAGGAAAGTACTTACTGAACTTACTGAACATGGTTTTTTGCAATAGTTCTTGTTGAAGTGACAAGTGTTTTGATCTTTGTGTTTTTAAACCGTTAAAACCAACTCAAATTTCAAATGGGGAACTGCTTTGGAATAGAAGATAAAGATTTAATCCTGGAAATGTCAGATCAGTTGGTTTGATAAATGTAAGTCTCTTAAAGAAGGTTTTCTTTCAAAAATAGAGAGAGCCTTTAATAGCTGTTCCTTACTAAAAGTAGTTTCTGTTTTGATGAACCCTTACTTTTTTCTAACAACTAAAATATTTTGTCAAAAACATCCAATGTCTTGAAGCCACAAGCACTTGTGTTCACAAACACCTCAGATACTCAGTCAGTACGTCACAGAAGAGAAGAGAATAAGCTAGTAGGTCACTGCCCCTTGGACAATTTTTTTGGCCAGTGGCTACTAATGTAAAAGCATTCAGGGTAGTTGTCAAAGAGAGACAAGGGAGCATAATTTCCCAGCTCCTCTTCTTCCTCTTCACATTTGCACAGCATGAAAAATAATGCCAAGGAGTTTTTTTATTTCTTTCCCTTCCACTTTAAAAAAGTTTCTTTCCCTAATATTTCCCTTTTCATTCCTCCCCAAGTTTCTTTGTTACCCTCTCTCTCCTGGCTGGTATTTCAGTACATCTCAAAAAATTTAGTTCTAGCTATTTCATTAGGACAACAGCAGTGGTGAAGTTAGATGGAAGTAATGACATCGTGTATGTACATCACAAAAGTACTACTCATTACTTTTTAGAAGATTTCCCATGAGGTAATGGCATGAGTCAGCATGGAGGCTGTACAGCACAGACATAATGGAACAGGTAATTTGAGCAGAGATAAGCATGATTTGTTTTGTGTCTCTTGCCTTTGACCAGTGCTCTGATCATACCAAGTCTTTTTTTTTTCTCAGCAGTGCTGATTGCAAAAACGGTAAAACTGTAGGGATACACTTCCATATCTGCACATCCCTGGAAGAAATTGTAAGGACTAAGCTAAGAAAATTAGTTACTTTTAGGTGCCTGCCAGACAGTGAGTGCACAAAGTCAAATTTGGTCTGTGGATAACTTTTAGCAACATTGGTGGAGGTGACTTGTTTGTTCCTCGTTTGGTAGGAGCTGGTCTGGATATATGAAAATTCTTTGTTGTTAGAAGAATTCTTTTCTTCTAATCAGAAATACCTCCTTAATCTAATAATGCAACACATGCAAATATACTCTGTGTATCAGTCAGGTCTTTTCCTCTTTCCTTTTAACTGCCTTTTACCTTGCTGGGTTTAAATGGAACCAGTCTCCTCTGAGACCACCTCTTCTTTGGGCTCCTTGAAGGCAGGGAAACAAAATGCAAGGTCTTGCATTCACATCAGGTTGGTATTGGTCTTCTTGATCCCTCACCTTTCACCTTCCTATAACACAATAATAAAATACAGTAGCTATTTCTTTCACAGTAGAACTTCCACGACATTGGTTGTAAGACTGAATAGCAGAGTCACTATGCAGACATGTACTTTACCTATTCATGTACATCTCAGTATCGATTACTTCATTATATCACAACATTTTTTTTTTTTATGTAAAGCACATTCTTCTACTTATTTCCAGAACCCTGCTGTGTTACTTGGGTTCTAGAGTGAGTCACCTGTCTGTAATTTAAATTTTAAACCTGTCATCAGACAGCTGTTTAGCAATACCTTTTGCAGATATCTTTCTGCCTCCCTCTCATCTGCCTTTAATCCACTGAGTGGGTGTTTGCCTTTGATTGTAAGAAAGTTCCCAGATGTATCACCTTTCATTTCCAAATACCTGGAAGGTAACTTCCAGTCATCTGACCATTTTACCCATCCAGACCAACTTAAGGCAAGGTCTAGAAAAGGAGATTCTGCAGAGTTCCCAATGATTTTTTTGGCCATTTATTGACCTAGTAATATTGCACAAGAAATTTTACAAGGGATTTTCCTTTTAGTTTGTGTGGATGAAATTGTCAGTTTGGGAAACTATAAACTAAAGAAAATGGGAGAGTTTACTTCAATGTTTGAGCTAAGAAAGAAATCCTCAGTTCCTTGAGGAATTGGCAGTAAGTGAAATTGCTTGAGAATTTGCTTAACCTGACTTTTTCCACATTAAGAATAAATCATAATTGTATTGGTTAGTTGAACATTATTTTGTGATTAGAACTTTTGGCATATAATGAATGGAAGAAAGAACGGAAATGACCACACAGAAATGCAATAGTGTGTGAGTATACAGTAGCACTAAACACTTTAGGCTAAATGTGTCTGGGTTTGCATTCACGTCCTTGGACGTGAACACATTCTGGTTAAGATGATCCTATTTACCTAAACTGAATGGAAGTCAATAATATTAATTGAACATGTATGGAGTTTTGTTATTTGAGCTAGTGAAAAAAAAAGGAAAGATAAAAAGGGCTTTGGAAATAATGTAGAATGATTCTAAATATTTTTCTCATTCAACAACAAATATCATTCTTGAGTTCTCTCATCAAATTTAACTGAGCCCCCTCGTGATCATGGGTACTGTGGAGCTGTACTTATGATGGAGAGACTCCTGTTCAGCTCTCAGCCACTTTTTTGCAGCATTGTAGAGCTTGCTTTATGCCACAGTGAGACCAAATGTGACAGAAAAACTTTATTGTGCCAACTGCATCTGCCAACAGGTGGTTCATGATTCACATACTTAACATCCTTGTATTTAAAATCAAAACAGCTTACAAAGAGAAGAAGGGAAGAGCAAAAAAATGGTGAACATGCCATTCAGCCTTCTGCTAAAGTCTGAGTGTTCGAATTTGTTCATCTCCAGTTGCTGTGTGATACTTTCTTCAGACTGGTAGACAAGGTGTTTTCTTCATGCTGTTGGGTCTGGATCCCAGGAGGGAATGTGACTGTGTCAAAAATCTCATCAGTAAAGCAAAACTCCTCTTGAACCTGAAAGAACAAAGCCATGGGTATCTGAGGCACAAGAGTGAGCAAGGGGCTCTTTGAACCTAGGCACAAGACAGTGTATGTAAGGAATTGCACACTCATGAATTTTGGACTTTTGTACTTTGTCCTGACACTGGAATAATTTACTAGCCAGAATCAAGGTTCACCCCCTCACTTCATGGTGAGCAACTCTGTGCCATTCATGGTGCCCATATGGTGAGGGGAAACTTTCTCCTCTCCTCATGGAAACCACATCTACTCCCTTGTGGTCTCAGGGTCTGCATCCCTTTGCTGTTTCCTTGCCCTTGCCCTCTGTCCTGAGGGAGCATAAGCTCTCCTTCTCTGGTCCACAAACAGCCCACCCCTTGTCCCCTCACAGTAGAAGTGGGGTCTATTCTGCCATGGGCACTTAAAAGGAGAACTGGCTCATGTCAGTGTGGCAGAGAGCATGTTAAACTTGGTTGCTCCCACCGTGTGTGTTTAGAAGCAAGGCCAGCAAAAGGGACAGCAGGCGAAGGAGCAGTCCCCATGGTTGCACCAGGAGGAGCAGGACACATGCAGGTGATCCCAGAGACAACCGTGCTGAGCAGATGGCAGCGCTCCTTTTCTCAGAGAGGCACTGACTCGAGAGAAAAGCCACATGGAAAATTATGCAAAGAGGTAGAGCGGCACTTTTGCAAATAAAATTGTGGGCAAGATGTTGTGATTTGCATTGGCCCTGAGCTGCACTGTAGGCTCTGTCTCACATTTTCCCATGAAAGTAATAAATCTAAGGAATTCTGCAGTGGCACTTACCTTATCATGAAAATGATAGAACAAATCCTAAATAAATTCCATCCTCTCTTTCTCTCTTTCTATATCTGCTGTGTAAATAACATCAAAATGTGGTCTAAAGACTGCTTTCCAAAAATATAAATAAAAAACACACTCGGGCTTCAGTTTTTAATTTATTGTTTTATTTGTTTTCTTTTTATTTGTTTGCTTTTATGTAAAGAAGGGTGAGAAAACAAAAACTGTGAGTGTTATATTAGGATATGTCTATATGTTTTTTCTCTTTTTCACAGAAGTTATGAAATAAATAAAACAACGTCAAATAAAGTTAATGAAATTTAAATTTACCTCTAGTTTCTTCTAGCAGCATAGACAGCTTTTCCTTTATGCCCATGGATTTTTTTCCTTAAAAAAAATTAAGTGGTCTTAATAATTAAGTAAGTCAGACAAATGTTCTTTAAATCATTGCAAGGGGTGGATAAAGAGATTTCCTCTTCGATACTGGCAGACATTATTCAAAAGTTCAAGGGAAGAAGGTTCTACAGCTTTCTTGATGAGACAGTCCTGAAGCTCATTAGTGCTCATTGAGTCTTTCCTGCTCTTCAGGCCTATCCTTCATTTATTTTTTTATAGTAAGCTATTAATTTGTGATAGTAGAGTATAACAGGAACCAGTCATGTTTACAAGTCAAAACTCTATGCAATATTGCAATAGCTCCTAGTGTTTTCTGCTATAACAGCCAATAACTCTTGCTGACTAAATTAAATTTTTATCCTGCTCCATACGGCAGCACTTTCTTAGGAAAATGAAGTTGTTTTACTTGGCTTGAAATACGAGTAAAACCTAACAGAAACCTTTCCCTTTTTTCTCTGTCTAAGCCTACTTGCATGTGTAGTAATTCTGTACAAAGGTCACTTCCAATTTTCTTCACCCTGAAGGCTTCCCAGTAAAACCTCAGAAGATGTCCTGACAAGCTCCGCCTGACAACTTTGCCTGCAGTTTCACAGCAATGATACCACTGTACTTGCCTCCCTGGGAACCTGGCAAAAGCATGGCTGTGCACAAAGAAACTCTTCACTCATTAAAACACACAGAAATGTCATAAAAAGAAGACTTTTCCACTTATTTCCAGGTAAGATTCTAGAAAACCGAGACAGAGAAAGAGAGGAGAAGACCTTTAATGCATTGTCTATTATAATAATGATTTCCATAGGACTTTAATCATAGCAAATACTGAGATTCTGAAGATCTTGTGAGCTGTTTAATCAGGCATGCATGTACACTATCACCTGTTAACAGCATGGAAGTTGGAGACCAGTTGGAGACTAGTGTAGAGATGCAGAGCTTGTGAACAGTGGTGGTGTGAAGGGAAGTCCTAT